AGCACATTTATTATTATTTGTATTACTGCTAACAAATACATAAAGTAATTGCAAGCAAAAACCTGAGATCCTGACTAAACATTGAGGCTGTGTCTACACTGGGCCACTTATTCCGGAAAAGCAGCCGCTTTTCTGGAATAAGGTGCGAGCTGTCTACACTGGCCCCTTGAATTTCCGGAAAAGCAGTGACGATTTACTGTAGCACATTTATTATTATTTGTATTACTGCTAACAAATACATAAAGTAATTGCAAGCAAAAACCTGAGATCCTGACTAAACATTGAGGCTGTGTCTACACTGGGCCACTTATTCCGGAAAAGCAGCCGCTTTTCTGGAATAAGGTGCGAGCTGTCTACACTGGCCCCTTGAATTTCCGGAAAAGCAGTGACGATTTACTGTAAGAAATCAGCTACTTTTCCGGAAAAACTATGCTGCTCCCGCTCGGGCAAAAGTCCTTTTCCAGAAAACTGTTCTGGAAAAGGGCCAGTGTAGACAGCACTGTAGTCTTTTCTGCAAAAAAGCCCCAATCGCTTTTCTCAAAAAGCATCCTGCCAATGTAGATGCTCTTTTTCCGGAAATACTTATAACGGAAAACTGTTCCGTTTTAAGCATTTCTGGAAAAAGGTGCCAGTGTAGACACAGCCTGACTGAATACTTATACTAGCAAATTCCTATTGGCTTTGATGAGAGCAGACAAAAATCTAAGGCTTCAGTCAAACCCATAACTAAACTAGTACATGTAAAATACAATTTGTGACTTTACTTTGATTGTTATTGGCAAAATTATGAGCTCCCCTCTCTCTCTGTCTCTCTCTCTCATACCCATATGCACACACACACTGACAGAGGTGACACTGATGTCATAGCTGTGCAGCTAATACAATAAAATGCATTTTTTATACTTATAGATATCTTGCCCATTCTCTGCCAATTAGCCCATCTCTGCTAGAATTATAAGCCTTGTCTATAGGAGAAGTTTGCACATGATTAAATTAAGTCATTTAAAAAAACAATTTAGTTGTTCCAGTGCAATTCCCTGAGTGGACACTCTTACTTTGGTTAAAGTATGGCTTATTTCTGATTAGCTTAAACTGATTCTTAATTAATTGAAAAATAAACTCAAATAAGAATGGCAAATCAGGTTTTTTTCAGCAGTTTATGTAAGTCTGTTTTCACACCTTTCGTTAAACCCATGCAACTTTCTCCAGTATTCCAAACAATGTTCCCTCTAATCTTTTCCATCCAGGAATGGATTTTTTCCATCCACACATGGAATAAATTTTATGTGTACCAAAGCATGTACAAACAGTAGAACAAAACCTAGTTGTGGGCACTCTGCTAATATGCTGGGCAGCATTTGAATCTTTTCTGAGTGGCCATATAAGCACACAGATTGCAGGGAACACTGATTCCACATCTCTGAAAAATCTATCTTCTATAAAAATCTTTTATCTTTTCAACTATGTATCTTTTCAACCACCCCAAATCACTCACTCACTCAATCAATTAACCAATCTGTCCCTGCATTTTTACTATAATTTAGATTTTTTAACGTATTCACACATCTCTGATACAAATAAAGCAAATTTGTTTTTACAATGGTTATTCAGAAGAAAATGCTTAATTTCTCACCTTCCTCAGAATACAATGTAATCCAGTTTGATCCAGAGGTCAAATCTGAGTCCCGCCTTAGCTGCATACCTCCAAAATCATCCAATCTACACAATGAAATATATGATCCATTTTTAAATTTAGTCCCCTGTCTGGAGTAGGGGGCGTATTTGAAAAAGTTACACACTTCAAAGAAAATAATAATCTAAAATGCAGGCTGGTTTATAGTGAAGAGCATCAGTTACTTAATGTCATTAAAACCTTTAACACTGAATTATTACTTATCATATATCTAGCATGACCCTTCTAAATGCCAAAATTCACAAAAGGGGGTTCATGATGCTTTCAGTGCAGTTAGAACTGCAGAAGAAACATAACCATCTTTTAGTCAATTCTTGGTAGGTTTCTTTCTGCATACAACCAACGACTGGCATGTGGTGAGCCTAGAACTCACTGATGTTCTTTGTTAAAGGAAACTCCTCAATCTACTCCTTACAACAGATTTAGTAGGAAGCAGGTTTAAAACAAAACCAAAACAAAAAACCCAAACAAAAACAAACAACCAAAAAAGGAAGTATTTGTTCATGCAACACACCATCAATCTGTGAAACTCTTTGTCAGATGATGTTGTGAAGGTCAAGACTATAACGGGGTTTAAAAAAGAACATTTATGGAGGCTAGGCCCATCAATGGCAATTAGCCAAGATGGCAGGACACCTGGCATTGGCCACTTTTGGAAGAAAGGATACTGGGCTAGATGGACCTTTAGTCTGACACAGCAAGGCCATTCTTATGTTCTTGTTTATTCACACAATGGCCCACATCCTCAGGTCTTCTAAAGGAATTGTGCCAATTTACGGCACTTGAGGTTCAGGCTCAGATTTTTTCTTTGCAAAGTGTTCCAGGACACATGTTCACAGGGTGTTGCATCACTGTAAGCGTTTGACTGATAATAGGTTACTTATAGTTCAGACTGTTACTGAACCATCTTACCTGGCATTTTGGTCCAAGTGGAAATTGTGGTAAAAGCTGAAATTGTGCTGTTTGAAGATGTCTGTCCACGTCCGGTGAAATTTTTCTCTCTTATTCCTTCACTATTAGTGGTAAATAGGTCACTGGTCCTGAAATAGTTTTAGAATGAATATCTATTACTGCCTCGGTACTGGATGCACGCAAGTCATGTATGTCCCTTGTGAAACCAATCTGATAGCTTTCTTTGATAGGATAATGAGTCTTGTGGATAAGGGAGAAGCGGTGGATGTGGTATACCTAGACTTTAGTAAGGCATTTGATATGGTCTTGCATGATATTCTTATCAATAAACTACGCAAATACAACTTAGATGGGTCTACTATAAGGTGAGTGCATAACTAGCTGGATAATCAAGCTGGGAGGGGTTGCAACTGCTTTGGAGGATAGGGTCATAATTCAAAATGATCTGGACAAATTGGAGAAATGGTCTGAGGTAAACAGGATCAAGTTTAATAAGGACAAACGCAAAGTGCTCCACTTAGGAAGGAACAATCAGTTTCACACATACAGAATGGGAAGCGACTGTCTAGGAAGGAGTACGGCAGAAAGGGATTTAGTGGTTATAGTGGACCACAAGCTAAATATGAGTCAACAGTGTGACACTGTTGCAAAAAGGGCAAACATGATTCTAGGATGCATTAACACGTGTGTTGTGAGCAAGCCACGAGTAATCATTCTTCTGCTCTACTCTGCGCTGATTAGGCCTCAGTTGGAGTATTGTGTCCAGTTCTGGGCACCACATTTCAAGAAAGATGTGGAGAAATTGGAGAAGGTCCATAGAATAGCAACAAGAATGATTAAAGGTCTAGAGAACATGACCTATGAATGAAGAGTGAAAGAACTGGGCTTGTTTAGTTTGGAAAAGAGAAGATTGAGAGGGGATATGATAGTGGTATCTAAAAGGGTGTCACAAGGAGGAGGGAGAAAAATTATTCTTCCTGGCCTCTGAGGATAGAACAAGAAGCAATAGGCTTAAACTGCAGCAAGAGAGGTTTAGGTTGGACATTAGGAAAAAGTTTCTGTCAGGGTGGTTAAACACTGGAATAAATTGCCCAGGGAGGTTGTGGAATCTCCATCTCTGGATATATTTAAGAGCAAGTTAGATAAACTTCTGTCAGGGATGGTCTAAATGGTACTGGGTCCTGCCATGAGGGCAGGGGGCTGGACTTGATGACCTCTCGAGGTCCCTTCCAGTTCTAGTGTTCTATGATTCTATGAAGTGAAAGCCAAGTTAGGGTGACTATCAGGAGCCATTTCCTTACTGCGAGGTCTTGGTAGAAAATCTGTATGCTCCACTACCTGAGTTATTGAAAACTAGATTGGATGATGTATTTTGGAATATGGAAAAGTTCCCACCAGGTTCGGGGATGGTCCAGCACAGCCAATGGGCCTTTCTGCTCCTAATTCCTGAGATTCGCCCGATTCACGAGCGCTGCCGTGTGTTGTCATTGCGTCTGTTCCTGCCCCCTTTGAAGACATCGGCAAAACACTCGTTGACTTTAGTGGGAGTCACCTCAGGCCCTGCATCTCATTTACTTCCCTCTTGAAAAGTTTGGCTCTGCAGGGCAGAATGCAGGCTCGTTACAGCTCTGCTTCCTGGCCTTCTATGGCTGTGTGGCTGAGACGGGAGTCGCTGTGTATGGCAGTGAGGGTGAGGGAAGCGGGAGTTAAAGGGACTATATTGCCTCCTCCTTGTCACTCATAAACGTGGTGTGTTTCTAACCCGGTGGCTTCAGGGCTTTGCAGCTCAGCACAATCTGCACAAAATGGCAGGGGAGGTGCCTGAGGGACTGATCCTGGACTCATTAGTGGGCAAAACAAAGACCATGGCTGGTCCATTGGTTAGGGCAGAAGCTTAGGACTCATGGTTTCCTGGTTCAATTTTCTGCTCTGCCACAGGCTCCCTGTGAGATCCAGGATGAATCTCCCTGTGCCTTGGCTCCGTATCTGTGTCCTGGGGCCTTGTCGGGATAAACACATTAATGAGTGGGAGGCACCTGAAGCCCTAAGGAACCCACATTTTCTCCCGTCTATATTGGATGCCTGAATCTTATACAGTTTCGATATAAATAACAGGCCCTGATGGCTATGGAGCAAACATCTCTGATCAATTTACCTGGCTGACATTGCTAGATGGGTATCATCAAAGGTGGATTGGGAATCACTAAAGGGGAACAAAGCTCCCCCTCAAAAATGTTACCAGAGGAGCACTAGCACTAATGACTAAAGGCCAGATTTTTAAAGGTATTTAGGCATCTGGTGCGCGTTTCACAGGCACACAGACATCTAGCACCCCCTGAAATTATTTAGGCACCTCAATTTTAGGCATCAATGAGCTTTAGGCACCTTTAAAAATCTGCCCCTTAGCATAATAAGAACATACGAACAGCCAGATTGTGTCAGACCAAAAATCCATCTAGTCCAGTATCCTGTTTTCTGACAGTGGCCAATGCCAGGTTCCCAGAGGGAATTAACAGAACAGGTAACCATCAAGTGATCTATCCCATTGCCCATTCCCAGCTTCTGGTAATAGCAGTAGAAGGTGCATCCCTGAAGATATAGCATATCATCCACACTAGATAGGGTAGGCAAAAAAGGATGAGATGGAGTCCAGCTGTTTTCGGGCAATGATGGGAGATGGCAAAGGACCTAGTTTTCCCCTAAGGCCAGACCCCTTCCTTTGAGAGTGCAAGAGACTTCTTGGGACTTTGGATATATATACTTTGTCCTCCAACTGTCTGCTGGAGATCTTCATATTGCTGTACCCAAATGCTGTCATTATGTTTGGGTCCCTGCTTAACAATATTTTGTGTTATGACAAACTGAGTTGTTGCCATTGGATTTAAGCCACTTTAATTCATAGCATTTTATCATTTTGTATGTACACTTAAGCAATAATCTCTGTCCTAAAGCAATCTAGAATGAAACTAGAGACAGATGTTGGCATATTCATTGGTGGGGCTTTTCGAGTATATTTACTCAACACTGGGGAGTAAGTCTCTTTACCTCTGCTGAGATACTCTGGCTAGCAGGACTTGCTCTACAAATAGCTGTGTAGAGAGCACTTCGAAGTTGCAGTTGCGGCTGGAGCTCAGGAGCTGAATCTGCCTGACTCCTCCTCAAGCTTAGTTATAGTCACCCAAAGCTAGTCACAATGGCCTATTTAATTGCTCTCCTTTTCCTCTAGTGACAGATTTATTGTTCATATGATCTGGGGAAATTAGAGTTCTTTATTATTATTATTTTTACCTTAAAATAATCCTCATGATACAAACATTTCCTTTTCTTTTAGTGTGATGGATGTAACATATCAATTATAAATAGACACCAGGTAGGTAGAATCCTGGCCCTGTTCCCACTACATAGCTTCTGGTACTATTACTATTACTTACATTGTAAGCTATTTGGGGGGCAGGGATCATCCTTTTATTCTGTCTGTACAACCCCTAGCACAATGGAATGTTGGTCCAAGAGTGGAGCTCCTGAGCACCCCCACAATACAAATACTAAAGAACAACAGTAATCCACAATCTTTCTCCCCTTATTTTTTCCATTCTCACTCTGTTCTTCTGTTCACAACACTCTTCACTTTTCCTTTCTCTTCCCTTCTCTGCTTCACTTGCTCCTTATAATTCATTCCACTCTTTTATTTTCATTTAATTTTTTTACCCTCTCCACTTCTTTTTCTTTCCTGTCAGTCCTTCAGGCTACCCAGTCTTCTTTGCCTCTAAGCATTGGTGTTGAAGCAGTTTCTGCTGCAATGTAACTGTTTTGGTGATTTTCTACTGCAAAAATTAAATAGGTACAACACCCAGTGTGGACAGATTTATAGCAATAGAAAGGCACCTTAGGCCAGTTTTGCTTATTTCCCTTTCTTTCCAGAAATTAACTGTTCCAATACACATTCATCCCAGTATAACTGCATCCACAGTAGGTGGATTGTACTATTTTAATTATATCAACTATAGCAGTATAGTTAAAGTGGTGCAAGATTTGTTTGTAGACAGAGATTCGTTTTCATTTTACCCTCACTTTATTTTCTGCATCTGGGCCATTGCCTAGTACGACATTGAAAAAACACTAAAACATGGGATGTATAATTTATCAAGGTTCACAGATGATTAACATTGCTGACAATAGCTGATTTTTGAGGCATTTTTATTTCATTCAGAAGTCTTATTTCTGTTGATTTAGGTTAGTACATTTCAATACAGTGTATATTACCTGTTATGGTGCAAGCGCCTAATAGATTTACAATGTTTTCATGGCTTCCAATATGAGTCATCATTTTGAGTTCTGACATTAGAGCATCTTCTTCGGAAGGGTCAGATTTTTCTGTAAATAAAACAGCAACACAAATGTAGAAAAACATTTACAAGTTAGGGTTTAAAAACTAAATAGTTTAGGTTCTATGCACCATACAAAACTTTCCTTTTACATTAATCCCATTGATCTAAAGCTGTGACTGTGTAGAAAATTGTTCTAAAATATAATATTTTACGATAAATAGATATTCTATTTGCTATCTATTAGAGCTGGAACTCTCTTTCTCTCTCCTCCCCACTCTCTCTGTATTTGTGTTCCAGCTATAAGCTTTGTGAGATGATTCTGTAGTCTCAAAAATGGATATTATGAAAGTAATGAAATAAAGAACAGTTATCAGGTTCTGAGAAGTCACCAGAATTTGCTTTAAATATGAGACATGGAGACAGTTATACAACCAAATACCTTTCTAAGTTTATAATGCTATAATCATATTCAGTAGGGTTGCTTTGGATTTAAACAGTAGTAATTGTGATCAGAATTTGTCCCATAATTTTTCCTATTTTGTCTCTCCTGATTCTTTTATGGAGATATACCTATCTCATAGAGCTGAAAGGGACCTTGAACGGTCATTGAGTCAAGTCCCCTGCCTTCACAGCAGGACCAAGTACCATCCCTGACAGATTTGCCCCATATCCCTAAATGGCCTGTTCAAGGATTGAATTTATAACCCTGGGTTTAGTAGACCAATGCTCAAGCCACTGAACTGTCCCTCCCCCCCAACCATGTAGTTTCTAGTGAAATCACATTTTACAGCTTAAACTGTTATGGCACTGTCTCAGTTACAATATAGAGAAGCAGTACAGCTACTAACACAAAACTTATTTCTCATTTATACAGTTACCTGCACCCTGAGTGGTGAGTCTGAAGTGGTGACTTCTCATTCACCATAAAAAGTACATATAATTGTATTCAAATTGGCTAATAAAGTCTGCTAGCCAGTTAGCATACAATCATTTCAGTAATGATTGTACACCTAGTTTTCAATAAATGTAGAATCATGCAAACTAACCTCAGCTAACTCCAGATAATAAATGCACTTTAATTTATTAATATAATTACTTTTAGCTGGGGAGAGAAGAGCTAAGAAAGGGAAAGGTATTAGGTGGGTCAGAAACTGAGGCAGTTGCATCTATTCTGAAAGCAATAGTCAGTGGAGATGAGGAATCCACAGTAGCCAATCACAGAGTAAGTGTGAGAAAATGGAAAGTATATTTCAATGTAACAAAATTAAGGTGTTTTCCTTTCACTTAGTAAAAATGGCATGCCGTGCTAATAAACATCTCCTTTGCATCAGAGTTCATTTAGCCCCAAATAATGCCACATTACCTCATGAACAGGAAGCACTCTATATTAATCAAATACAGAATTAACTCTTTAAAAAGTTACGAGAGCTAAAGCTTTGCCCCACCACAGTGGAAGAGTCTGGATTGCATGGCAGAGCTGGTTTCTCCAAAGGGCCCTTCTAGAATTTGGAGGTAGAAACTCTTCTCAGGGCAGGCCTGACAGGAATCCCTGTCAGAGCTGACACTACATGACTGCCCTCTCTTCTGGATGGAGTCTATGTTTCCACCTCTGAATGCCAAATGTATATGGCAGTTGGGGTACTAGTGGCCATATGACAGGAGGCAGGACCTCACCACATTCCGACGGTTTGAGAAGGGCACATTCAGTGGAACAGCTGAGTGACTAAAGGGCCTGCAAAGCCAGGGAGAGAAGACCCAGCTGGATGTGGTCTAAGACAGTGTCCATGAGTAGCAAGTCCAAAAGAGAGCTGCCAGCTAGGCTCCCTCCAAATCTCCAGGCCCCAGCCACAAGAGGGAAAAGAAAGGTGTATCCCATGAAGGGATGCTGTAATGGGTATGCATCCTTAGCCATGTGCAAGGCCCAGGAGTCCTTCCCTTGGGGGTGAATGCCTCCCAGTGCCCCCTTGGACTAGCAGAGTTCTACCCTTTCCCATACTATTGGTTGTGCCTTAGAAGTATATTCTAGAACTTAATTAATTCCTGAAATAAACTACAAAATACAGCAATAAGAATATGGAAAAATAATACTTTTAGAGCTAAATAAGTACTGAAAAATGAAAGAACTGTGAGCTGCAATTGCAAGAGAATTGACTTAAAGGGGCTTCTGGTGCTGTTTCTACCTTAAACACAAATAATAAACCACTGCTTGTGAGAGCAGTATCTTGCTGTGATTTACTGTACCTTTCAGCATTTTGACTGCAACTTGGACTGAATCCCCGGTTTTACTAATTCCATAAGCTGTAGCATTCATAACCTTTCCAAAGGCACCAGAGCCGAGTGCCTGCCCTACAAGACAAAATGAGTTAATGAAATTTCTAGTTTAAGGCAACGTAAGCTGATATAATGACCTCATGGTTTACCCAGGAGATTGCTCACCAAATTCCAGATTTTCTCTTGGAAACTCCCATTTGAGATCATATTCAAATTCACTGAAATCAATGTAGATGTACTCATTATCTGAAGGACCAACTACCTGTATCATTTGCATTTGACTTTCATATCTAAATTGCTTCAGAAACAGAAAAATTGTATTAGTTCAACAGAATTTTAGAAGAGAGGGGAGAGAAAGGCAGTCATTTAATGTTTTTGTTTTTACCTTTTTGTATTTATGAAAAATAAATATAAGCAAAACAGCTATAAATGGAAGGCAAAATCCGATAGTTGCATAGAATGAAATGTTATCTCGGAGGGAAGAAACAGCTCCTGTAATTTAAAAAGATGCATGTCACTAAACAATGAATTAGGACTGGTATGTAATGTTAAGCTACAAGAAACAAAATAAAATCTGTCATGTTTGTCTTATCTCCATTATTTTTCATTCCCTTTTGGCCTGAGCCTGGGAATTGCCAATGAGAATTGCAGGTGGTCAACGTCTCTCAGAGAGCCAGATTATGGCCCTCTCAGGCTATGTCTAGACTGCAGGCTTCTTTCAGAAGAAGCTTTTTTTGGAAGAGATCTTCCGAAAAAACTTCTTTCTAAAGAAAGCATCCACACAAAAAAGTGCATCGAAAAAGCAACGTGCTTTTTTGAAAGATAGCATTCACACAGAAGGGATGCTATCTTGCGTTTAAGCCATGAATACTATGGACAGAGTGGCCACCAGGACACCTGTGCTTTTTCCTCTTTCCTCTTCTTTAGAAAGAACTCCCTCTTCCCTGTCAACACACACCTTTTTCTGAAAGAGCTCTTTCAGAAAAAAGCTTCTTCCTCGTAGAAAGAGGATTACTAATGCCAATTTACTTTCTTTCAATTTACTTTCAGAAGAATACAATTGCAGTGTGGACGTAACTTAGGTTTTGTCAGAAAAATGGCCATTTTTCCAACAAAACTCTCTAGTGTAGACATACCCTCAGACCTTAGTACAAGTAATATTCTCTGTATGTGGATCAACTAATTCCCATACAAAGCAGGGTTCAGTTGCATCTGCAGTAGAGGTGATCCAAGATGTAAAGATTTATACAGAGGGGCTACGTCTACACTGGCCCCTTTTCCGAAAGGGGCATGCTAATTTTCAACTTCAGAATAGGGAAATCCGCGGGGGATTTAAATATCCCCCGCGGGATTTAAATAAACATGTCCGCCGCTTTTTTCCGGCTTGGGGAAAAGCCGGAAAAAAGCATCTAGACTGGCCCGATCCTCCGGAATAAAGCCCTATTCTGGAGGATCTCTTATTCCTACTTTGAAGTTCTTTGAAGTAGGAAGTTCTTTGAAGTAGGAATAAGAGATCCTCCAGAATAGGGCTTTATTCCGGAGGATCGGGCCAGTCTAGATGCTTTTTTCCGGCTTTTCCCCAAGCCGGAAAAAAGCGGCGGACATGTTTATTTAAATCCCGCGGGGGATATTTAAATCCCCCGCGGATTTCCCTATTCTGAAGTTGAAAATTAGCATGCCCCTTTCGGAAAAGGGGCCAATGTAGACGTAGCCAGGGAGAGGCAGAGTCTGGGTGGCCCAGAACTGGGTGAGAGTGAAGTTGGGAACATACATATTGTTTCCTCTTTACACCACAGAACTTATAATGTCTGTGATAGGAAGACACCTTTAATAAGGTCTCATGGACAGCTTCAGCCTAAGGAGTTCCTGGCAATGAAGCTATGCTACCAGAAAGTAAAGGAAATGCTATGAACTAGGAGCCAGAGTGAAGGTAAAAGATCTCCACATAGATGCACCTAATCTCCTTTGGTCAGCACTATGATCTGTTCCAGGGGTGGGGAACCTGTGGTGCGGGGATGGATGCAGCCCTGGCTTATCTGGATCTGGCCCCCCAGAGCTCAGGGCTCCCCCCAGCATTGGGGAGCCAGCACTGGCGCTCCAGCTCCCTGCTGTCCCCCCAAAGGGCTGGAGCACACAAAATCTCCTAGCCTGCCCCCCCACCAAGCTCTGGTGTGCACAGAAAATGTGGGGAGTGTCTTTCTCTTTCTCAGTCAGTGAGGGGTTTTCTGTTTTGTTTTGTTTTGTTTTTTCTTGCTTCTCACTTATGTGCATCCCCCGACTGATTTTTCTGTGGTTCAGCAACCCCCGACCCAAAAAAGGTTTCCCCACCCATGATCTATTCCACATGGGACAGACTGATAGCCCAAAGTGGAATGAAGAGGGAGGAATTCCCTAAGAGGATAGTCATACATCTGTCTTCCCATTCGCTCCCTCTTGTTGAAATGGTATTTAAGGTAAGTACTTACATTGACTTCAGGCCCTCAGTTTGCACAGTAAATGAGTTATATTCATAACAAAACAAAAGGGGCAATATTTATACATTGTGTAAGCCTGAAACTTGTTTTCATTCAAAAAGTGAGTGTTATATGACTCTTCAAACTCTTTGGCATCATTGTTCAACCAGATGCTATTAAGACATGTTGCCCTGCAAATCTAAAGACAAGCAGCTAAACAAATCAGAAGCCATTCCAAGGTTAAGTGCATAATGTCGGCCACAATGCAGATATAATATAAAAAGCCACCAGTTAACTGAGGATCAGTTACACAAAACCAGCTTAGAGTATTGCTCTGCTATTGCCCAGTTAACACCATAATACCAAAATTACCACGTCCTTTTCATCATACAGAAGAATACATAACTGTCCATTCAGAAAATTAACAACAGCATACCATTTGTGCATCCATACAGTATGCAATTCTAATGCAAACTAGATATGTTTGACACACACTTAAATAAATTCATTGTTCATTAAATTCAAAATATTAGACATTAGAAGACTGGATTTATAATACTTAAATATATCTACACATATTCTCATACATAGACCTTCTAGCCTCCGTATGCCACTAATCAATGCACATGTTATTACTAACAAACCAGTCTGGGTATCACAAAGACAAATGAAAATGACTCCTTAATAACAAATGGTATTAAAATTGGAATTTTCTGCCTTTTCCTTGAAAATACTTTTACGATTTTAAGACACTCAAGGTGAAAGTGTGTGACCTTCTCTCACAAAAGCAGACGGACTCTGCTACCCTCTCCTCTTTCTTCTCTATTTCCTTTTTTATTAGCTGCAACATGTTTTCTGAAGGTCAAAACCTAGCAACTTTATTATCCTTCATGACTCTGCATAGTGTGTATGTGAAATGTTATTGGGTGACATCTATCACTTGTGATCAATACGTTTATGAATTAAGAAAACATCTTGTCTCTTCAAGACAACAGAAATCTATATGTTCAGAGTGAATAAATCTAATAGTTGCTCTCTTCTAAAATAACACTACATGCTATTTTTTGTAGCTCAGATATTTTTCCTCTTGCAATATCTTTGGTCTGTAAATCTTTAGTCTCAGAGAAGACAACTGAACGTAATACAAACTGATTACAAAGAAGAAGCAATCATACATAAAGGAGGATCTTGTAGATTTCCATAAGCAAAAGGAGATGCATGTCAATTTGTAACTGAATTTCCAGGTATAGGTTATTAACAGGAATAAAAAGCAGGTCTCTAGATTCACAGGGCGTGATTTTGCAGCTGGTTTTAGTGGAGGCGTAGTCTGCTTTGTGACTGCTGAATTGGGTCCCAAGTGCTATATCATCGAACTTAAGTAAAAAAATCATGTCAGAAGAGACATACATTCTACTCACAATTACATGCATAGCTTGTGTGGGATCCTATATTTTATTTGCAAAGACTATTCAAATGTGATGCCATACAGGCAAAAGATACCACAATTTTTTCTTTGCAGTCTATAATTATCTTGAGATGACCTGCACTGTCTCAGTAGTGGTACAGTACCTTGTTGGTTAGTGAACCCCTTCACGCAGGATGCGCCAACGGAATTGTTTGCACAGCACTCCACATAGAAGCCTATCATTGTATTCTGTACATCTAAAGTGCTGCTGGAATGCCAGGACCCAAAGGTTATTCGCTCAGGTGTTCCTCTCCAAATTCCTTCTGTGATTTCTTCTGTACAACTTTAAAAAAAAGAAAACAAAAAAACCCGAGGTCCAGTAGTGATTGTTACAACTTGCACAGGTTTTTGAGGAGGCCATGTCATAAGAGGTGGCTGATGTTTGTGCTAGAGAGGAGAGTATTGCTGGGCTTTTTCACTATATTATTATATATAATGATATATAAATCTACATACATTATCCATGATATAATAGTTACATCACTGTAAAAAAAAGAAAACAAAAAAACCCGAGGTCCAGTAGTGATTGTTACAACTTGCACAGGTTTTTGAGGAGGCCATGTCATAAGAGGTGGCTGATGTTTGTGCTAGAGAGGAGAGTATTGCTGGGCTTTTTCACTATATTATTATATATAATGATATATAAATCTACATACATTATCCATGATATAATAGTTACATCACTGTGTATA